GACTAAGGCAGATGGATCACGAGTTTCAGGCCAGCTGGAGTTTCATAGTGAGATCCTATTTCAAAAAAATCAAAAAGTCATTTGCTATCTCTCTGCCACCCTCAGGGAACCTGGTCACTCCTGGCATGAAGGGAAAGTCAGAAACCAAATGAAAACTGAGCCACATTCCTGCCTCCCAGTGGGGTGCCAATACTGGCCAAAGCGTTGTAGTACAACAAATGCTGAGGAGGATGCGGGAAAAAGAACTCTTACATGCTGTGGACGGGACAGTGTAACTTAGTGCCACCACCATGGGAATCGGTATGGAGGCTCCTCAAAAAACTGAAAGCAGAACTCCTGTATGACCCAGCCATACCTGCACACATACCCCAAGGAATCAAAGTCAGCATAAGTAGAGACACCTACACACCTGTGTTTATTACAGCACAAGTCACAGTAGCCAAGGTATGGAATCAGTGTAGGTCCCCAATGATGGATGAATGGATAAAGAAAATGTATATACAGTGGAGTATTATTCAGCCATAAAAAAGAATGAAATCATGTCATTTGCAGGAAAATGGATGGAACTGGAGATCATGTCAAGTGAAATAAGCTAGACTCAGAAAGACAAATATCATATATGTGGAATCTAGATCTAAAAAAAAAAAAGGCATGACTATACATGGGGAACTATTTGGAAGGGGACCGACCAGTGGGAAGGTGTTGGGAGGGAAGAGGGTGATGAGGGAGAATACAAAATGTCATAGTGAAACCCATTATTTTTGCACATCTTTTAGAAGGGGTACACCCTCCTGGAGGTTCTAACAATACCAGGTCAATGTGTGGAGTGAGCAAGGCAAGCTCCTACTCCATCTCCCCACCCCAAAATCCATTTAATATGCTGTCCTCAGATAGAGGACACATTAGCTATTAAACTGATAAGAACAGGTACTACACTTGATCATAGCCAAAAGGCCAAGAAGAGATGTGAAATAATTTTTTTTTTAAAAAAAGCTTTGTTGTAGAAGGTGTGCTGTTTGTTGTGGAGGCTGTAGGAGGGCTGTCAGGCACAGACAGCCCCACCCAAGACTTTCACTTCTCTGTGAGCAGAAAGGCCAACGAAGTTCAAAGAGCACTCTTGGATTCGGGTTTGCTGCTGGTCTATGCACCTGCTCAGTCACCTTGGGGCCACCAGTGATAGGTTCCCGGCTTTGGGAACATAGGTCATTCCAGAGTGAACTGAGCATGACCCTTCACTCAGCCCCTTCCCCATCTCCAGGCTTGTGCACTGTGCCTGAAGACCCTCCCAACACCCCTCAGCCCTCTTTCCCTGTCTGGAGTCTTCAGGCTGATCAAGTCAGCCACCAAAGACCCAGGTCAGATGCCTCCAGAGGGCGCCCAGTGGGTGTCTTCCCATGCACAGGAATTTGGGGGCGGAGTCGGCTCTGGCATCTTTTACCTGGGAGCAAATGGAAATACAATTCTTTTTCCTGTGGAATACCGCTGCTCTGCACTCTAACTGGGACACATTGCAGAAAGTGGGACTGAAAATGTGGGGTTTATAACTTACATTAGTTTTCAAATGATGGGCCAGAAATGACAAAAATCCTTCATTGGGCCTTTTTTCCTCTGATCTTGGGGTTTTGTCTAAATTGATGAGTCTCTCTCAGGCTGGATGACAGGGTCCCACAGCCCTGAAAGGGGGTATCTTCCCTGGGGGTATTTGCCCATAGTTGCAAAACTGGGAACAGAGCACAGTGCCCCAGGGGCAATGTCTCAGACAGGCTTCTCTGTGGGTTGTTGCCACCATGACTCAAGGGGACACAGGGACCTTGGCAAGTTAAACATCCCACTCCTAGGTATATACCCAAGAGAAATGAGAACACACATCCACACCAAACCTGGTACATAAACGTGCCTAACAGAACCGTTCACAATAGCCAAAGGGGGCAAACAAATCTGTTCTACCAAAACCCAGGACACAGTCCAACCATAACCAAGAAATAAGGGCTGGGCATGGTGAGGCATGCCTGCAAGCCCAACACTCAGGAAATAGAAGCAGGAGAATTGAGAGTTTAAGGTCAGCTTTTACTGCATAGTAAGAGCCCCCTCTAGAAGAAAAAAAAAAAAAAGGAAGTTCTGTGATACTACGAAGTGTGCGAACCTTGAAAACATCTGCTGAGTGAAAACATCCAGACACAGAAGACCACATAGTATGACTCGGTTCATGTGAAATGTCCAGAATAAGCAAATCCACAGAACCAAAGTAGATTAGGCTGCCGGGGTGGGGGAGGAGGATGGGGAGGGGGAGGGAGTGCTAACGGGCACAGGCTTTCCTTATGGGATGATGAAAGTGCTGAGGAATTAGATAATCCCGCATCACTGCAAATACACTCAATGCCACAGAATTGGGTAGTTAAATGTGGTTAAAATGGTAAATTTTATGTTTGTGAGTATTTTGCCACAATAAGTTTTTTTTTTTTTTTTTTTGCAGGAAAAAGAAAACAGAACACGGCTGGTCCTGGGAATGTCCCCTCCTGCAGGCGTGTGTGCCTGGTCCTGCCAGCTCTGGAACAGAGTGTGTTCCACTTGGGACTTTGCGAGGTTCTCAGGGTCCCCAGCCCATGATCACCTATGGAGCTAAAGTGAGGGCAAATTAGACCTGCGTTGGATTTGGCTCCTCCCTTCTTGACAAGCCATCAGGACTTCTGAGTGATGTTGGGTTTGCACATCTGGGACTGATCAAAAACCAGTGAGTTTGCAAAAAAAAAAAAGCCTCCCGAGCTGCAGCAGCAGACTCAGAGGCACCTCCCAAACACAGCAAATTACGCTGGTGACAGAGAAAAGCAGTGTCCCAGTTCTACAAGGCCATGAGGTCAGCTTTGGGAGCCTGCCTCTGAGATATTTCAAATGCAACCGGCAAAAGGTCAGATATCCTGGTGGGGTCGTCGAGGGCTGGAGGGGCCTCACACTCTTCTGTGCAGACTTCAGGCCCTCCTCAAGCCAGCTCTCTTCTCCAGCCAGAAGGCAGGACTCAGGACCAGCACTGATCTGGGTCCCAGGCACAATCACAGTGTGCAGAAGTCCTACCTGTCGGCAGAGCTGAGACCAAGCCATCTCCACACATCCCCTTCCTGCCCCGGCCCCACCAGGAGCCAGGGACCCCGATCCCCAGCAACACTAAAAGCACCCACAGGGCATGAAAAGCTGTGTCAGTGGCTTATCACTAAATAAGCACCTTCTTCAGAGCCTGGGGCAGGTCCAGTCAGAGTGGCAGCTCTCCTGGCCCTGACTGTGTCAAGTTGGGCATACAGCTGATCCCCACCCTGAGCCTCAGTGTGCTGCTCACGAAGTGCACACCTCTCAGGACTCCGGGGTCATTCATGAAAACCCTGGGCATTCTGGCCCAAGGGAGGCGCAGGTAAGTGTCAGCAGCCAGTAGTATCAATGTTCTTACAACTCTGTACGGATCTAAATCTCTTTCTTCATTTCTCTTCCCTGGGGCCAGCATCCAGCTGTTTTCTCCTGGAACCCTTCAAATAAAGCACCTGTGTGAAGGTCAGGCTCAGAGATGGGCTGGCAGTGGGTAGAGAAGTGTCTTAAAGGAGGCAGGACACACATGTCAAGAGGGCAGGGTCTTGACAAGACTGAGCTGGGATGACTTCACCTATCACATACCAGCTAAGGCATCGTGGGCAAGCACTTGGCTTTTCTGAGCCTCAGTTTCCTCAGCTGTGAAATGTGGAGCAGGTGGCACACCTCATCCAGGTGTGTTGGAGGGATGGACGATGCAGGTAAAGTGCATGGCACAGACGTCACGCCTGTCACATCAGCAGTATACCCCACGCTTGCTGCCTCTTCCCCCATGTGGAAACAGCCAGGTACAGCAAAAGCAGAAATCAGGTGCTCCCCAACACATAGAGCCGCAGCACATCCCTCCCAGTCTATGTGTCCTTGTGAAGCCTGTCCCGTCTTGTTTTGCAGCCCTATCAGACTCCAGACCCTAGATGGGGAAGGCAGGCTCACGTACTCAACCAGAGCAAGGAGCCCAAAGGCTCAGAGAGGAAACTCACAACCCACTCTTGGCTGCAGGGCAAGTGGGCAGGGCATTTGCTTCTCTAGTCAGAGAGAAACTCCTCACCTTCTGGCTGAAAGATGCCCAGTTCAAGTTGGACCGCAATCAGCAGCCATTGGCTAAGCCCTTCCTGGCTTGTTCACCGGCCCAGCCCTTGGCAAGGCAGGCTGTGGGTCTGCACCAAGCGAGGGGTTGGCCTTAGCTCTGTTCATCTGGGTGACTGACCTCCCCAGTATTCTAGAGCGGGCCCTCTGCTCCCAGCCCAATTCTCCACACAGGAGAAGTTACACAGAGTTGCACTCTGCCTAAAGAGATCCAGTGATGTCCCTGAATTCATGTCCCTGAATTGTGACATGGCCCCACACCTGCACACATCCATCTGAAGCTCCGGAGGCTCTGCCTGGACAACTCAATGTAGCTCTCTGACTCTCTGATGTCTTCATCTGATATAAGGGAAGGGGACCACCTTGCATTTCTGTTGCAAATGAAATTATAAAGGGGCGTGGCCCTGTAAACTGCAGGGCAGAAGCCACCTGCCTGTATGATCAGCCTGCACCTCCACACGTGGGTAGAACACTTTCTAACGCCTGTCCCGTCCATGCCATCAGCTTTCCATTTATTGACGCCTACTGTCAACACAGGATCACCACAAACGGCTGTGAGTTGCGCAAGGAAGGCGAAAGTATACGGCCTCAGGGCAGCAGAGATCTGCGCTCAGATCGACTTCGGTCCCGGCTCCCTCACTACCTACGAGTCCCGGCTAAATTTCGTGGACGAGCCTCAGTTTCTTCATCTGAAAAAAAGGCTTTTGCATACCACAAAGCATGGTTCTGAGACGCAGGTAGAACCCTCAAAGATGGCATCTTCCCTGGTCACTTCAGCTCCTAGGACACGAGGGAGACCGGATTGCAGCTTGCAAAAGGGAGACGAATCTAATCACACCTACCTCCAGAGAGCTCCGATCACCCTTTGCCGGCGTGTCCTGCGTTCAGCGGCGGCTGCGTGGGCACAGCGGGCGGGTGGCTGGGCGGCCGACGGGGCAGGCGCTGAGGGATGCAAGTGGGTCCCTGGCGGAGCGCACCGCCTCTTGTAGGCTGTGTTGAGCCCGAGACCACGCCCCCTAGGGTCCGCGGCGTTGATTGGGCCGCGCAACTCGGGCCCCGCCCCTCCAGGCCCCAAGCCCCGCCCCTGCCCCGCCCGGAGTATTCCAGAGGCGGGGAGGTCCCGCGCCTGGGCGGGCTAGGGGTCGGGGCCGCCCGCGTGGGAGCCCCGCGGGAGAGGAGGACGTGCTCAGGTTCCTCCCCATGACCATAAAAGTCGTTTCCATTGAGCGCCTGGACAAGCACTGCCCCCCCCGCCCCCGGCGGTTGCAAATTGACTAAATCCCAGCTGTCTGCCACTCAAGTGGAGAAGGGGGCTGGCGAGAGACCTCCCAGGATTGTGGCACGTGAAGTCCTGAAGTCCGCAAGGGCGTGGGCTCTGTAAACGCAGGCGGGACACAGGTGTGCTGACTTCATCCTTCTGCTCGCGAGCAGAAACCTTCACACAGCTGCCACTGCCTGTTCCCGATTTGCACAGGGAGCATGACGTGATTGTAAAAGGGGTATTGTTTGGTGGGGAGAACCAGCAGGAAGGAAGGGAGAAAGGAGTGGGTGCCGGAGGCTGAATAGGAGTTAAGTGCATTTTATATACAAAACCTACCAAATGCTTAAAGGGGGGAGGAGAGCTGGAGGCGTGGCTCAAGTGGTACAGCGCCTGCCTAGCAAATGCAAGGACCCGAGTTCAAACCCCAGGACTGCCAAAGTAGTCTCAGAAAGGAGGAGGGGAAGAGGAATGAACAAAGTGTAACAGAGAGGTTGAATTTGAGCAGAGTACATTATACAAATGTATGGAAATAATCACAATGAAACTCTTCTGTACAATTTATGACAATTAAAAAAGAAAAGAAAGTCGACTGGGAGATGTGATGGATGGGGTGAGTAACACAAGGGTCCATCTTCATAATTATCTCAGTACACATTGGCAAGAATCATCCCATTTCACAGATCTGGTTCCTGCTGCTTGGGGAAGAGGCTGTCACGTCGGTAGCCAGTGGACAGCAGAGCAGATTCCAAGAAGCTCTTACTATACTTTGCCCCATCCTTAACCTGTGCAGGTACAGTGCATCATGTCAATTAAGAGTCAGAAGAAATCACCTTTGAAACAGGCAACTCCAAGTCCCTTGGGGGCAGATGAACAGAAGGCCAGAGGAGCTAAGGGCCACCCTAAGCTCGCTCTCAGTCACAGACAGTGGACCTGGCCTATGCAGGTGTGGAGCTCAGGAGAGGAGGCAGCCTGTCCACATTGCTGTCCCTGCATTAGGACACTGGAATTGGCTCATCAGCCACCAGCTCCTTCACAAATACCTGTCGAGTCGCTCTGTGCCCAGCCCTGCAAACGGGACCTACTGGGATCTCAGAGGCTGGGGCTCCCAGAGGGGTTAGAGCGTGTGGGGAAACAAGGATGGAGACAGGGTCTCAAGCTAGAAACCCTTGCCCCTGGCGCTGGGGCAGCTCATGTGCAGATGAGGAATCACACTGATGCTCCCTCCTTTCTTTTCTTTTCCATGTATTTTCTTTCTCCTCTCAGTTTTGGAAGTCATTCTCAGATCAGCGCTCACTCACCCAGTACTTACTAAGCACCACTCTGTGCTGGGTTCTGTCCTGAGCACTGGTGGAGGAGTCAGCAGGGAATAACTGATCCAGAATAGTCCTCGGTGTGACAAAGGACTAGCCCAAGGGAAGAGGGCTGTGTCAACAGGCACCTCTTAGGTGCTTAGCCCCATAAGCATCACCTCACCAAGGGCCCCACCATGACCACCCTCTGATGCTGATGCCATTGCTCACAGCCCCATTTTTCCAACAAGGGACTGACTGGGCACAGAGAATCCAACTCACTTTCCTGAGGTCACAGAGCTTCGAAGAGGAGACACTAGGATTTGAACCTGTGCTCTTGCCCCATCCTGCCACTGCCTGTGACCATTAAACCTCGGGTACAGAGGATTGGAATAAACTGAGTCCTCAGAGGGTTCCATACATCCCTGGCAAAGGGAAAGGGAAGCTATGAAGAAGCAGACTCTTCATGGGCCCAATATTTGAGTGGAGCTGGTGGCCGTTAATGAAATGTTCACTCCTCTGAGAATCTGACCTCTACTGCCTTGCATCTACCTGCAGGTTTCTTGCTAGTTCTGAGGAGCCCCTCCCAACCTGGGCACTCCAGGTTTGTCATTCCACAAACCTGTCATCCCCTGGTCGAGCTGCCAAGTCTCATTTAGTCTGGCAGCTTCAGAACCATACAGACCGTCACCTCATCTGCCTGAATTTCTCCCTTCCTCTCTGTGGTCTTCTCCCCCCACCTGCCCCCTGCTGAGCATCTGGGGCCTGACATGCCCACCACCACCTTCTGAATCAGCCACACTTCCACATGCCAGCCCCTGTGCATAAGGGTTCATGGGCATCGTCTGGTCAGCTTCTCACAGCCCAATGGGAGCAAGCACTCTGCTTACAGATGGGGAACCTGAGCCTCAAGTAGGTGATGGCATTTGCCCAGGGTCACTTAGCTGTTCATTGGTGGGGTTGGGTTGTGCCTGCATCTCAGGTCATCTGTGCTGTGGCCAGAATAACTATCTTCCCCAAGTTCCTAATAAACCTAATCACCAATAATGGTATTAGGGGAGGTGTGGGGAGGTGATGGGTCCTGAGGGCTCTGGAAAGATCAGTGACCTTGTACAGAGGACCAGAGAGCTCTCTTGCCCCAGCCACCTTGTGAGGATACAGAAAGTGACCTGGATCTCGGACTTCCCAGACTCAGAACTATAAGCAATAAAATTCTATCGTGTGGTATTTTGTTAGAGCAGCCGGAATGGACTAAGACATCCCATGACCTTGGCCTCTAAACCCTGTAGCGTTTAAGGGGCTTGAGAGTTGCTGCAGTATGAACCTATTGAATGTTTCTAAGCTTATCATTTCTCGGTAATATTTCAGGGAAGCTAAATAAATAAATTTCTCAAGTGGGATGTTACAGTTAGTATTGCTTGGTAACAAATTTTCCTATATTATAGTGGCTTCAGTAGTCATTTCATTTTGCCTATAATTTTTTGGCTGGGAATCTGGGACAGGCCCACTTGGAAGGCCCTTCCTTAGGGGCCTTACCATGGTACATTCAGGTGTTGGCTGGAGCTGTGGACATCTGAAGTCTCCACTAGGCTGGACTTCCAAACTGGTTCTCTCAGGGATGGTTGTCCATGCTGAGTGTCGGGCAGGAGGTCAGCGGGGAGGGCTGACTTCGGGGCCTCCATGGGGGCTTTCCTGTAGTGTTGGGTGGGGAGACTTGGCACAGGGTGGCTGAGTTCCCCCCGAGCAAGCCTCCAGGGGAACCAGGAAGAGCCTGCCCAGGCTGAGGAACGGGGACACAGACCACACCTGTGAGCAGCTGGAGAACAAGGAATCTGCAGAACTGTTTAAAAACCTCTCTAGAAGGCGAGCATAGGGAAACACAGGGCCCAGCGCCAAGCAGATGCTCCCTGAAAACCAGCCTGTCCTTCTTAGGGGGCTACGAGAGGAAGCCACCATAGCACGAGCAACCTCTGCATCCAGAGACTTAAGCTTCTTCCTCTACCAGCCCCACCTGTGTGCCATTAATCGAGTCACCTGACCTCTCTGAGCCAGAATGTCTTTCCGGGCTGGACCAGCCAAGGGGCAGTCCGAGTTCTTAGCTTGCTCGTTGGTGCCATCGTCTGGAACCAGTCAGGCTCAGTTCAAATCTCAGCAGCTTCACTTCCAAGTCAGTGAGTGAATGTCTGTGCTCAGTGCCCCATCTGGACACTGGAGGCTACAACAGCCTCTCTTTCTCTCTCTCTCTCTCTCTCTCTCTCTGCCTCAAAGGGTTAGATGATTAATGTTTGGAAACTGATCACTGAAGCCTGACACTTGGCAAGTGTTACTTGATGTTATTAGGCCCAGCAAAGCTAAGCGAGTTTAGCTCTGATCAACTTTTCCATCCTGTTGCAATCTGAGGATGTAATTTCCGGAAAAGCAACATTTGAACTTGAACGAAATGGCATGCCATGGGCAACAGAGACTCCTGGGAAGTCCCACGATGCAGCTAAGTATTCCTGTAGGATGCGACTGGCCACCGATATCCTTGAAAATGCCAGCCAGGGATCCGACTGTGACCCACGGGAGAAGTAGGATCATGGAGAGACTGAGGCAAAGGGAAAAATCCTTTGGGCCACTATGAAGCCCAACCTGGAAAAAGAAAAGCGAAGTCCTGGGAGGAGTGTTGTGGAGAGGCCGCGCTCCTTTGGGATGCAGGTGGGCTCATGGAGAGAGCACATGCACACAGGACATGCATACCTGCTGGACCTGAAGGGCGGGCGGGGCAGGTCGTGAACATTTAACTCTTTGCTGCGTAGGTAGGTCAAGGCCTTTCCTTCCATGTCTGTGTCACTCTGTGGGGCTGGTGGCTCTCGGCCCACACCAAGCTCTTATTCACCAGTTATTTTTGAGCTAAATGGACATGGACAGCCAAGGCTGGGTGCTCCAGCTTCTCATTCGTCCCTGCCACACCCAGCCAGCAGGTGCAGAGGTCACCCAGGTCTCAACTGGGCATCAAAGACCACTAACAACAGGGGCCAAAGAGATGCAGGGTGCCATTTGGTGAGAGGTGTGGCTTAGGAAGACGGACCCATTGTATTCCCAGCTACTTGGGAAGCAGAGATTGGGAGGAACCTAGGTCAAGGCCAGCTCTTACCAATAAAGCTGAGCGAGTTGCCCTGCATCTGTCATCCAAGCTATGGGGGAGGCACAGGTGGGAGGATCGAGGTCTGAGGCTGGCCCTGGGCAAAAATGCAAGATCATACTGGAAAAAATAACCAAAGCGAAAAATGGTTGGGGATAGGGTTTAAGTGGTAGAGCGCCCACCTAGCAAGTGTGAGGCCTGAGTTCAAATCTAGATATTGCCAAAAAAAGAGAAAACAGAGAAGCTGCAAAAATGGGAGTGATAATGACGCCTCTG